TTGAATTGAGTATTCCTTGCCTGTGTTTGTATCTTCATATTTAATCCGTAAGTATTAAAACTACATATCTAGCTTTTAGGTTCCCTCACTTGTCTGAAAATGCTGCTTTTTTTATCCGTGCAGAGAATCCAATTGGTGGAAGAGAATCAGCGATTAAATCAGGTGATCGGAATTTTGAAGTGTGTTTTCATTGTAAACCGTTAAATTTCTGTGTTTCTAATGTTTATAGCATCGAACTAGCTAGGACATTGATTTAAATTTTATTGCCCTGTTAACGGATGATCCTCAGTTGAATGGGTCATTATTGAATTAGTTTATCTAAGTTGTATGCATAGAGAAAATCAGTTTTTTTATTTGTTGTTGACCAAATTTGACTATCATGTGGACGCTTTTGAAAGCATTTTAAATCAAAGGAAGGTCCACTTCACTGGTTGAACCAGCTGTTCCAATCTAGTTATCAAATTTCTTGTTCTGAAAAAGAGTCTTAAAAGATGGGAAATATCTGCGTTTAGGTGAGGAATCTTTCACAAGAACACGGAGGTCAGTCATCTGAGTCAGCCGACATTGGCAGCATATTTGATCCTCCACATGATGATGATAGTTCAGACACTTCTCTCAACTTGGGGTGAGTATAGCTAACTTAACTGTCCATTCTTGAGCTTTCTGATAATCAAATATTAATTGAGGGTTGCCTGTATTCATCAATAAGTACTAAGGAGAATTGAAGTGAAATTTTAATTTTTTACTGCTGAAATATTATCTCAGGAGCTATGGAATCCGCACAGCATTGTCTCTTTTTGACAATCAACATTGTGTCATCAAAATTCCCTATAAATGAGAAGTAATTGTGAGTTTGATCCTACTTGTAATCTCAAGCTTTTAATACTTGTTGTCTTTCTTGCCAAAAAAAAAAGGAAGTCAAAAACAGTGAACTTTAGCTTGTCTTTACACAATGTATTTAGAATATGTATTCTTGCATGCATTGAATGTGAGACTAAATTTATTTTTGTGCGTGTGTGTGCGTGTGTGTGTGAAATTAAGGATCAGATATGGATCTGTGGCATATATTCTTAAAACTTTAACTTAAGTTTATTGTCTTTGTGTTGCAGATTGTCTTTATTTAAATGAGAAAAGCAAAAAAAGATGACGAGGCACTATAGAGCAGAACCATTGAGATTATCATTCTTGTAGGTGAAATTCAACCAATGCAGGAGTTTTTTCCCAAATGCAGGAGTTTTTTCCCATTATTTCATAAGAATTTAAGTTTGCTTTTAATCTGTAAGTAAGTAGGTATTGATTACATAAATTGACCAAATGAACACACACACACACACACACAGATATATATTTTATTTATCCAATGGTGTTGTTTCTGAATTCCAAAGTCATGTATAAAGAAAGGGCCCAATGGTTGGCCTTAATGTGCTACAGCCTCATCCACCCGCTATAGTGTAGGTTAGTTGATATATTCCGTACCTCAAAAAAAAAGAAGGAATAAATGTATTACTGTATACTGACGTGTTACCAATATAAAATTGATTATAAACTGATCATTCTTAATTAAAACAATACTTTTCAACATATGGATTTGATATTGAGAATAATATGTTTATTGCTAAAGCAAATTAAGGAAACAAACATTTCATGTCTTGTGTGACGAGATCGGCTTTTGATACATACAAAGTTCGAGGTGAACAGTGCACTGTTAATATGTTGGCCGAAGAGTATGTCATGTTTCTTTTTTTTTTTTTTTGGGCATAATTAATTTAGTATATTTTTAATCTCTTTAAATTAGTCAACTGTATGTGTTATAATAAGGGATGAAGGTACTACATTGTAGTAGTTTGTATATGATACGCTTTCATATTGATTAGTGTAACAAAATCACTTTATTAGTGATTTAATATAGCGTGGTTTATCTAGAAAATATAATAACTATTAAATCCATGAATTGTTGTAAGGGTTAATATCATCTTTAGTTCTTTAAACTTGACTTTATTTTTGTTTTGGCCTTAGAAACTTAGAAGTAGTGGTGTTGGTTATTAAAATTTGATATAAAAAAAAAAGAAAAGAAAAAATGATACTGATGTCTTATGAAACACGAAATATGGCAAAAAAATTTTAGGAAATTCGTAATGAATTTGAAGTCCCAAGGGGACCTGAGTTGGTTATTAAAATTTGATATAAAAAAAAAAAAGGAAAAATGACACTGATGTCTTATGAAACACAAAATATGGCAAAAAGATTTTAGGAAATTTGTAATGAATTTGAAATCCCAAGAGGACCTGAGTGCAATTTAATGAAATGTGAAAAGATAATTTTGCCCCCGTAAGATGCAACCAAAATTGCTAAAAGTTGCTCTGTTTCCGACTAAAAATCGATGCCTATTAGCAAAAGGTAAAAGGAAAAACGAGCCCAAACTTTATCTAGTTCCTTCTCCATTGTTATCTGAAAATCTTGCCCACCCCACTCACATTAACCATTGTTAAAAATCGCTTGTGTGTTTTGATTTTGTGTGTGTTGGTTATTTAAGTTAAAGATTTATGATAGATAGGTAGGGTGATAATGGGTGTTCTGTTTTTAGATATATTGTGAGTAAATTGAGGGTGGGCTTGCTCTATTTTGACATGATTTGGTGGGAATCGATGAAAAAGATAAAGACCGATATAGAAAGAAACCCTTACTACAAACTAGAAAACTCCGTTTTTAATATAGGTTGTGATAATTGTTAATATAATTGCTTGAGTTGTTAATGATAATTGTTTCATGCAAGTTTACCTTAACTGGTTTTGTTATTATGTTTTTAACACAGACCATAACCTTCTATTGACTAATTAGTCGATATTACAAAAGGAGGAAGAAAAGGCAATGAAGAAGGGTGAGTAGTCACATGAGACAAAAGAAGAAAAAAGGTAAAAAGAAAAGCTATTTTGAACCCAAATAAATGATGATTAGAGAGAATTTTTTGTAAATGTCACAATACACACTAACAGTTAATTTGACATTTGATACATTCAATTGTATGTTTTTTTTCCTTAATAGGTTGTGAAATTGGTGTAATTATATGGATATAAAGCTATAAATTAAAGTTGCCTACAAACTGATATATTATATTTTGATGTCTAATTAGTTGTCATTAACTACACCTTTCATTGTTAATACACTTTTCGTCGCTTGCCATTCATTGCACTATCAATTGTCAATTTACTTGTTGATATGAGTTTGGAAAAAATGTGATTTTAAGTTATATAATATCATACGACATCATATGATGTCATCAATTCCTCTAAATTAATACATTTAGTTATAAATGTGATATAGAATTATTATTAAAAGTCAATTATTACTAATACAAAATTATGAAATTACTTGTCATTAACGACACATTCACTTGTTAATGGTAGCACTGTGACTTGTTAATAACATCATTATGACTTGTCAATTTATACATTCATATGAATTTATTTAAGTTTTGGAAAAAATATCATATAATTAACATAAATTCCAACAATACATTTTGATTATAATGTGATATAAGATGATATAATATTTCTATTTTAAGTGAAATATAATTGAATTTAAAATTTGAATCAATGTTCCTTGTGTTAATTGTTAATGTTTGCACTATAACTTGAAAATTTTCTTATTGATATACGTGATTTTGAGAATTGGCCTGTCTTTTATGTTAAGGAAATAAACAATGTAACAACAACAGGACATGAATACCATAGAAATCATTGTAAGCAAAATTCAATATGTAAGGATCAGCTGGTCCTTATTGTAAACCACAACAAGTAAAGTAACCTAGGCTAACGAAATAAGTCACATATTAGCTTAGACATTATATAACTTGAAATTAACTTTTTTTAAAAAAAAAAATTTATATCAGTTGATGAATTAACAAGTGATATGGCAACTATTGACAAGCTAGAGTGCCACCGTTAACAATTGAATGTGTCCTTTGACCAAAAAATAATAATAAATGCATCATAAATGACAAGTAATTTCATAATTTTATATTAGTGATAGTCGACTATTAATAACAATTCTATATCACATTATAACCAAAATCTATTAGTTTAGAGAAATTAATGATATTATATGAAGTTATATGACATTATGTAACTTAAAATCATGTTTTTTAAAACTTATATTAGCATATAAATTGACAATTGACAGTGTTATGAGTAGCAAGTAAAAGGCACATTGACATTGAAGAATACAAATAATAACAACTTTTTTTGTATCAGAATAGTATACAATCAATTTTCATTTACAGCTCGTATATATGTAATTACACCAGTTTCACAATTTGTTACAAAGAAAAAATATAGTTACACATGTCCATATCAAACTAATCGTAGGTGTGTACTGTAACATTAACAAAAAAAAATTCCTATCACTTTTATTTACAAAAAATTCTCTAAGCCGAAAATGGTTTTCTTTCCTAAATATCATTTTGTTGGGTCCCAAAGGGTCATTTCCCCTAAGTTGAATTTCACACATCTCTCACAGTTAAAAAAAAAAAGCACCCGCACGCATCCCTCATGCATCTCTCACATCTCCCACTTATCCCTCTCTGCAATTTTTACTGCGTCGGGCCTACCCCCACTCACCATTAAGTCTGCAAAAGGAAAGAAAACGAAATAAGCTTCGTTACCCCACTCCGTAACTAGTAATTAACGTTATTTCTCAAAAAAAGTTCGTTTCCTCCTCTTCCCAAATGTCTCTCTCTCTCTCTCCTCTGTGTTTGTTCTCTCATGGGCTATTGATAGGTGGGGTTCATCGCACCTTTGGCTAAGCTTTCTCTTCAACTGGGGTTGATTCCAGATTCTTGGTGAGCATCTTCCTCTTTCTGGCAGTCTTTCGTTTCATCTTTTAGACACTAATCCTTCAAAACAACTATTTTCCTCTTTTTCTTTTCCTGTAACATTCCCCGTCTCTTTCTCTTTCTTTTCTCTCCCCTTTCTTCATTTTCCTCTCCATCTTGTTTGATCCTCAACACTTTGGTGTTTTAGAGTAAGTTTCCTCAATCGTCTGCTTGTCCTGATTGGAAGCCCTCTTTGTTCTTCAAGGTTTAATTTCTCCTTAATTCTTTTCTTCTTTCTGTCCACCCAAGAACAATTTTCTGTGTTGCTTATTGGATGTGAGATTGATTTTCTACTTCGATTTGAGAGATAATGAGCCACCTCCTTTCCTTTAACTGGTCGGGAACTAAATATCCCGTTTTTTTAAGTTATAAAAGATTCAGTAATTTTTATTTTCAGTCTGAATCTATCATATTTATTGATTATTAATGAATTGTTTTCCTTATTTTCGTCCCTGATTTGTGGGTCTATTTTTGCTTAATAAGGAAATGACAAGACAGAAGATAGAAATAAAGAAGATCGATAACATAACTGCGAGGCAAGTGACGTTCTCAAAGAGAAGAAAAGGGCTATTCAAGAAAGCTCAGGAACTATCAACTCTCTGTGATGCTGAGATTGCTCTAATGGTCTTTTCTTCTACTGGGAAGCTCTTTGAATATGCTAGCTCAAGGTCTCTTTCTCTCTTCTTCCAATTTTCCTTTTCATCTTTATATATTCTCAGAAAGATTTTCGATCTATTTCCACTTTGATGATAGTTGAATGCTTTTGCCAGGTAATTATTTGTTTAATTTTCATACGTATCTGCAAGATTCGTAACTATGTACTTGTGCTCATTATTTTAATTTTGTTTTAAACTCATTGGTCTAGACAAACGTACAGGAGAATGTCCACGAACGTGCTAGCTTAGAGAATCTCACTGTTTCTATCAAACAATTTTCTGGGAAAATAATAATGATCTTCTTGGCTGACTTGCTGTACTTAGCTTTTTGATTTTCTAAAACATCGACTTCTAGGTTTATGATTCTTGAGTGTTTTCCCCTTTATTAATGTATATCTTATTTTTTGCATCCTAACAAAGAAAATACCAACATGATGACATGTTATAGTTCATTTCATTTCCAATATGGATATATATATATATATCTATATCTTCGTTGCCTTATTATAGATTATTCCACGTATATAAGCCTCTCGACAAGGGGATGCTTTATTTTGAATGAGACCTTTTGACCACTTATGAGGCAGAGGAAAGGATTAGTTCATTAAGCTTGCTTAAGTTAAAAAAAAAAAAAGTGCTTAGGGTAAAATATCTGATTTGAGAACGTGTTTAGTTTCCAGAAGAAAACGCACTTTCTGAGTGTTCATTTAGAGGCTTTATATCAGTTAACGCAAAAGACTATTTTCTGTAATGGCAGTGTAACACAACGCGTTAAGTTTTCCTCTTTCTTTTCTTTGCGAGATTAGTATTTCAATTTCTAATCTCTTCCAATCCTCTAGAGGACCCTTAGATACATAACATCACATCAGTATATGTGTGAAGTTCAAATTTATATATTTGCATGTGTGTACTATAGGCATTTGGCATGCAGCCACACATGCAAAACTACTAAAAATTGCTAAAGATGAAATGTTCCTGGTTATCAAAATGTGCTCCCTAGCTATTTCCATAATTTCTCTCCATGACTGGTTTGAGGAGTGGTTGTAATTGTCCACTTTCATAACAAATACCCAAGGAAGAAAAGAGGTAGAAAGGGTCGCAGTCAAAGTCATGGAATTACCAAGAGAGTATAATCAGGCTGCTACTTGTAGTTGTCATCAGAGTAATCTTGACATCACAATTAATGAATCATAGAATGAAAATTAGAGTCTCTTGCATTTGATTGCATTTATAATCTTGTAACGTGCAACTTTTATGTTTACTACTTATTTGATTATTTTTTTTTTTTGCTTACCATTTATCCGATGATTTTGGTCACACAAAGTTGTGTCAAAAATCCTAGTAGTACTTCAATTGAAGAGACTTGCATATGAAGTGTTTGTGTTTATACCAGAAATTCATGAATAAAGAATTATTTCAGGGGGCTGATATATAATACTACCTCTGGAATTGAATATGATTATAAATATGAGACCTGAATCCATTCCTCCCTTTATTTATCCAAACTAAACCTATAAATTGTGCATATGCTAAAGAAGTTTGCATCAAAGCCTAGTTTCAATTCAGATGATTGAAGAGGATATTTTAGTTAAATCAACACATATTTTTTACAAATAACTAACTTAATTATTTTTTTTAATTTATCCAAATTAGTTAATTACACCTTATATTAAGAACTAGAGATAATATATCATATTATACTCATGGATTCAAGTTCTCTAATACCCATTCTCTTTTTGGTCCAATACTGTGTACAGTGTATAGTGTGCAGAATAAATTTTGAATCATCTGTGTTTTTCCTTATCATAGTGTGCAGCAGGTTATCGAAAGATATGATCAGCACTTACAAATTGAGAGATTATATCATTCATCTGTTTTGGTAAGATCATTATGCATAATTTTTTTCCCTGAAACTGACTTTCTAAATATATGCTTGGCAATCCTCTTGCTCCATTTGCTTCCTCCTTTATAAACTAGCCTGAGTTTTGCGATACTTTTTCCATATTTCATGAATGGTACAACTTGTAAGATCTTTTATATATAGATATTTAGATTGTTTTTGTTGAATTGTCCTTGTCACAGTACATTGGTTCCGTTCCCTTTGATTTCAAAAACTTTATCCCTTATCCCTCTTCAACTTGATTATTTGTTTAATTACCTAGATTTCCCCCTTTTCTATGTTTATATAATAGTTTAGTCTAGAAAGGATGAAATATTTGGATTCATAGCTCATAGCTCATCTCCACCTGGCATAGCCCAAAGCTAAAACGGGATCCAAATGAGGTGATATCAAATGAGGCCTATGAATAAATAAAAAAAAAAAAAAAAGCTTCAAGTTCGCGAACAATGTGAATAACAATAGTAATAAAATATTATGTATGTAGATAAAAGTTACGTTTTTCACTATGCTTGACCTGAAATTCAATAATAATGAACTAATAGAAATCTCATGGGGAATTTATGCATAGTATGAAAAGGAAACCTTCAGCATGCTCAGCAAGGAAGAAGCTAATAAGACTCAGGAGTTTAGGTACGTAATACAAATATATGTGTGCGCGCGCGCGAGCGCGCATGTCCACTGAAGTTTTTATTTTGTGCCTCCTCTGTGCATAGACTTGTATTGCATTACTAAGGGGATGACTATACCTTATAGTTATGTTGAAAGGCAGTTGAAGGGAGAAGAGCTTGAAGGATTGAACATAAATGAATTAGAGAAGCTTGAGGACCAAATAAAAAGAGGTTTGAGCAGTGTTGTCAAAGCAAAGGTCCGCGTTTTGTTAAAGAAAGTGTCAGATTTCATGAGCATGTTAAAGAAAGTGCAAATTTGAAGGAAGAAATATTTAATTAACCCAATTTTTTCCCTTCATATAGCGTGCAGCTGGTTATTGAAAGGCTTGGTCCGCTCTCAGACGACACTGAAAGATTAGACCATCCTTCTATAGAGGTACACGCACATTTTTATGTATTTCTCAATCTTTTGGCTTCATCATTCTTGTGATATAGCGCCACTTTATTTAAGTTTAAGAAAATTGATCTTAGTTGGGCTAAACATGAGGAAGTTGTTGGGAGTATGAGGGAGTTGTTGGGAGAATTTAAGCTAATTACATATGAGGGATGTGTTGGAAAAAGCTTATTTTGATAAGCTATTTGGAATAACTTATCCCCAAAAAAAAAAAAAAACAAGAAGCTAAAAATAATTTTTTTCCAACAAAACTTTCATGATTAGCTTAATCTTTTCCCAACAATTCAAGTGTTCAACTTAACTAAAATCACATTTTTCTTTAATTTTAAAGAAATTGGGCCATGATAAGTCCTGAATGGTTTCTGTTGCTTATGCAGTAGCAATATTATTGATTATATATTTGGAAATTAATCAAGCTGCTTATGCGGTCGACTTAGCTATTATTAAGTTAAAAATGCTTGTTTAATCATTTTGTTTTTTTCTCTCATTACAAAAAGTGCCCTGGCTCCAACTTTTTAAAGATATAACTGCAGCAAGAACTTCACTGTGATTTCTCAAACCACGGTGAATCATCTGGAACAAATGGTTTAACCATGGTTCTGTATAACTATGAGAACAATAACCAGAGTTAAAATTAAGCTTAGCTCTCAGCATTGTTATATATTGGGACCATGAGAAGCTTATCTTTTCAATTATAGATGAGTTTTGAAATGACATATATAGTTATCAATAGCAATAAGAGTCTATTATGGAAGAACCTATCTTCCTGGACCTATTTTTCAGTTTGAAAAGTAATTAGGAAGCTATTTGTAGGTTTTTGCATTCATTTTCTAGTTTGGATAAAGCTTCATTTCCAAATTTTTTGCAAGTAAAACTATTTACTTTGGATTTTTATTACCCACACCTAGCTGTATTGAAAATTTATGAAGTTGATTAAGTTGAACGGAAATTAATCTGTATGGTATATTGTGGGAGAATTCTGCTTCTTCTTTTTTTTTAAATTAATTTTGAAACAAAATTACTTCCATACATTGCTGGAATAATTCAAAAATCCACTTTCTGCTAACATAAAGAGGGTATTTTCCAAAGGTCTCACTCAAATACCTTCAAACAAATTTTCTCCCTTACACTACTCTTTCCAAACACACTAGAGAGGAAAGCTTTAGCGATTGTTTTATTGGAGCCACTTTGCTGATATCCAGAAATTATTTTAACTAATCTGCATAGATGGTTCTTTTTGTGATTTGCAGGGCGACATAATGTTGAAAGAGATCGATGCGCTCAAGAGAAAGGTCAGGCACATTCCAAATTTAATTGTTGAAATCTTATATATTTTTGTTTAGTTATTACTTGAAGCTTGAGAAAAGAAAAGAATTATCATTGTCAAACTTTCTTTCCCTTTCCCGTCCTCCTTAATCCATTCATACACGGAGAATTTGAATCATTGACATATAAGGTTTGAAAAAAAAAAAAAAAAACTACATGATTCGTCTATTCAATATTTGATAGAATAAAAAAAAATTCATTAAAATATGCACTATGGACTAAATAACAAGTCTAGGACATCTATGGATTGAATTGAGTATTCCTTGCCTGTGTTTGCATCTTCATATTTAATCCGTTAACTATTAAAACTACATATCTAGCTTTTAGGTTCCCTCACTTATTTGAAAATGCTACTTGTTTTGCCCGTGCAGAGAATCCAATTGGTGGTAGAGAACCAGCGATTAAAACAGGTTATCGGAATTTTGAAGTGTTTTTTAACTGTAAGCCGTTGAATTCCTGTGTTTCTAATGTTCATGCCATTGAAATAGTTAACGGATGATCCTCAGTTGAATGGGTCATTATTGAATTAGTTTATCGAAGTTGTATACATAAAGAAAATCAGTTTTTTTATTTGTTGTTGACCAAATTTGACTATCATGTGGACGCTTTTGAAAGCATTTTAAATCAAAGGAAGGTCCACTTCACTGGTTGAACCAGCTGTTCCAATCTAGTTATCAAATTTCTTGTTCTGAAAAAGAGTCTTAAAAGATGGGAAATATCTGCGTTTAGGTGAGGAATCTTTCACAAGAACAAGGAGGTCAGTCATCTGAGTCAGCCGACATTGGCAGCATATTTGATCCTCCACATGATGATGATAGTTCAGACACTTCTCTCAAATTGCGGTGAGTATAGCTAGCTTAACTGTCCATTCTTGAGCTTTCTGATAATCAAGCATACCAAGAGAATGCAAGATTCTGTTGCTAACTTCTCATGATATTGCTGGTATAGTGAATAGACTCATTGTAGTTAGAATCCTACGATTTGCGATTCGAATCTTGCGATTCGAGACAAAATAGACAATAAAAGATATGAATCTCTCATTGTATCTTTTTGTGGCCTAAATCTTGTGATTCACACTAGAATTGTGAGATTCACACCAGAATTGTGCGATTCAAACAGTGTTGAGTCGTGCTGGATCTGACTTAACATGTTAAAAAACTTTTTTCATGTTTATTTTTTCTGATTTTTTTTGTTCTTTACAGGAGACAATCTGTTGTATAAATACTCCCTAATGCACTTATCACTTTCAGCTTATCAAATATCAATCAAAACTCTAATTTTTTATTCCTTAATTGATTTTGGGGACTATTTGTCATTGAAATTTGATATATATTGGTTTTTTTATTTTTTGTAAGGTGTATAGAACCTAATATCTACAAACTTTTGATGTTCTCTTCTATAAAATTACCTGTATGTCACCTTTAATAATTGTTCATGAATCTTACAATTCATGATAAGTTTCGATTCAAGATTCGAAAAATGGGTTTTCCGATTCACAATTAGTATCCTGATTTGATAACCTTGAATAGACTTGTGATTACATGATGGCTTGGTTTTATATAGAAATATAATATTGAAGATCTCAAAACAAAAAGTAAATTTTAGCAGTCAGATCTTGAACAGTTTGGAGAAGCATTGAAATCATATGATGATAAGTGAATATGTCTTTGTCAGTGTTCTGAATTGTCAAACATTGAGGGTTGCATGTGTTAATAAGTAATAAGGAGAATTATAGTGAAGTTTTAATTTTTTATTCCTGAAATATTTTCTGAGGAGCTATGGAATCCGCGCAGCGTTGTCCCTTTTTAGCAATCAACATTGCGTCACAAAGCCAATAATAGCCTTATAGCCTAGTGTCATGAAAATTTCCTATAAATGAGAAGCAATTGTGGATTTGATCCTACTTGTAATGTCAAACCGTAAATACTTCTTGTCATTCTTGTTGGCGAATTTAACCAATGCAGTAGTTTTTTTCCCATTATTTCATAAGAATTTAAGTTTGCTTTTAATCTGTAAGTAAGTAGGTATTGATTACATAAATTGACCAAATGAACATATATATATATATATATCCAATGGTGTTGTATTTGAATTCCAAAGTCATGTATAAACAAAGGGCCCAATGCTCGGCCCTAATGTGCTGCAGCTTCATTCACCCGCTATAGTGGTGGTTATTTGATATATTCCCCGAAAAAAAAAAAAAGAATTAATCTAATACTATATACTTACGTATTACCACTGTAAAATTAATTATAAACGGACCATTCTTAATTAAAACAATACTTTTCAACATATGGATTTGATATTGAGAATTATATGTTTATTGCTAAAACAAATTAAGAAAACAAACATTTCATGCTTTGTGTGACGAGATTGGCTTTTTATACATACACAGTTCGAGGTGAACACTGCACTGTTTATATTTTGGCCAAAACGTATGTTTGGTTTCTTTCTTTTAGGCATAATTAATTAATTTAGTAAAATTTTTAATTTCTTTAAATTAGTCACTCAATGAAGGTATTAGGTTGTGGCAGTTTATATATGATACAATTTTATATTGATTAGTGTAACAGAATTACTTTATTAGTGATTTAATGTAGCAGGGTTTATCTAAATAATATAATAACCACTAAATCCATGAACACAGTTGTTTTAAGGGTTAATATCATATTTAGTTCTTTAAATTTGATTTCATTTTTGTTTTGACCTTAGAAACTTAAAAGCAGTGGTTTGGTTTTTAAAATTTTATTTTATTTTGATCGGCTTAAAAAAAAATTTAATCCTCAGAACAGTATTTTTTATTCATAAAAAATATGCAAAATTTTGGAAATTAAAGGTGAGATATATTAATCCTTATTTTAGAATTAGATCATTTAAAAAGAGAAAAATGATTTAAAAAAAGAAAAATGACAAGGTTCCATGAAACACAACATAGAGCAAAAAGGTTTTAGGAAACTTGGTAGTGAATTTGAAGTTTCAAAGGGGTTTGAGTGTAATTTAGTGAAGTGTGAAAGGACATCTTCACTCCTAGTAAGAGGCAACCGAAATTCTTAAAAGTTGCTTTGTTCTAGACTGAAAGTTGGCACCTATTAGTAGAAGACGAGAAAAAATGAACCCAAACTTTATCTTGTTCCTTCTCCATTCCCATATGAAAATCTTGCCCATTCTACTATCATCAACAATTGTTAAAAATCACTTGTGTTTTTGGTTTTTTGTGTGTTGGTCATTTAGTTTAGGGATTTAGCATGGATGGCATGATTATGTGTGCTTTGTTTTTGGGTATATTGTGGATGAATTAAGGGTGGGCTTGCTCTATTTTGACATGATTTAGTAGGAATTGATGAAAAACATGAAGATTGGTATAGATAGAAACCCTTAGTACCAAATAGAAAACTTTATTGTTGATGTAGGCTACGATAATTGTCAATATAGTTGCTTGAGTTGTTAATGATAATAATAACTGTGTTTTGCAGGTTTATATTAATTGGTTTTGTTATGTTTTTAACAGAAACCATGACCTTCTATGCCTGTGACTCATTAGTGGAGGTTATGAAGAAGAGGCAATAAAGAAAGGTAAGCAGTCACAGGAGGCAAAAGAAGAAGAAAGGCAAAAAGAAAAGCCATTTTGAACCCAAATAAATGATGAATGGAGAGAA